TGGTGCACTGTTATGCATGTCTTGGTGCTGGCGACTGAGGACACTTTGTCAGTTTTCCTGAGTTTTGCACCGGAACCCCTAATCCCTACCCTAAACCCTAAACCCTAAACCCTAAACCCTAAACCCCAAACCCCAAACCCCAAACCCCAAACCCCAAACCCCAAACCCCAAACCCTAAACCCCAAACCCCAAACCCCAAACCCCAAGCCGCGCATGATCGTCGCTTGGAGCCGAAGATATGGACCCAAAACCCAACTCCGGCCTAAACCCACGCCAACGTCCTAAACTCACCCCAAAACGCGGGGTTTAGGGTCTAGAGTCTATAGGTTTATATAAGGCTTAGGGGGTTTAGGGCTTGGCGTTGCTTGGGCTTTGGTTCGGGTGTTTAGGGTTTAGGGTGAAACCCTAAACCCTAACCCCCCTTAAGCCCTAAAGCCATAAACCCCTAAACCCTAAGCCAAAAACCCTAAACCCAAACCCCCTAAGCCCTAAAGCCTTAAAACCTAAACAGATAAACCCTAAACCAAAGCCCCCTAAAGCTCTCAAGCCGCACTTCAACAGTCAAAAGAGCCGAGGACCCCTTGCACATGGAGGCAGCTTCCGCCGTGTGGATCCGGGCTCAGTGATCCTGCGTGGTTGAATTGGCCTTAGGCTTGGGGGTTTAGGGTTTAGGCTTTAGGGTTAGGGTTTAGGGTTTAGGGTTTAGGGTTTAGGGTTTAGGGTTTAGGGTTTAGGGTTTAGGGTTTAGGGTTTAGGGTTTAGGGTTAGGGTTTAGGGTTTAGGGTTTAGGGTTTAGGGGCCTAGGGCTTGAGGTTTACAAGCTTAAGACTGAGGGCTGACCCAGGGCCTTCGGGGGGCGTTGCATGTGCGCTGGCCTGCGCGGAGCTGAGGACGTCGATCAGATGTCCCGAGGCGCGCCGGAGGTCTGAAGTTGAGTGAGGTTTAGGGTTTAGGGTTTAGGGTTTAGGGTTTAGGGTTTAGGGTTTAGGGTTTAGGGTTTAGGGGATGAGGGTTTAGGTTTAGAGTTTAGGGGTTGAGGGTTGAGGGTTGAGGGTTTAGGAGCCCTACACCCTAAACCCTGAACCCTAAGACCTCGCCCCTCGACCCTTCTCCATGTCTTACTGTGCTCTCCCGTGGCCCCAAACCCTGAAACCCCAACCAACTATGACAAATCCAAGCCGCTACTGTATGTCATACACCGCGCATATGGGGCCCCTATTTTCGGAAACCCCGCCATATGGAAAGCACACCCGAACCCCTTAAGCAGCCGAAAGGCTGAATCTTGAAGCCTCAAGGTTCAATTACGTCCTAAACCTCCAACCTGGCAATTCAACCTCAACCCAGCCTGAGAAATCATCCTAAGCCCCGAGCCCTAAACCCTAAACCCTAAACCCCAAACCCTAAACCCCAAACCCTAAACCCTAAACCCTAAACCCTAAACTTAACCCTAAACCCTAAAACCCAAACCCTAAATAGCCCACAGAACGACGCAGGCGCCGTGGTGCACGACTGCGAGATGGGTCGCGCCGCCTCTGAAGGCTCCCCCGTCATGGCATGGGCTGCACCCCACGTCGGGGGTTTCATGTTTTCTTGGAGGTTTAGGGTTTAGGGTTTAGGGTTTAGGGTTTAGGGTGTAGGGTAACCAATTCTAACTGTACTTATAACCCACTTATACGCCCCTGAAGTGCCTTAGTATGGTTATATGTACGGTTGCAGCACCTGCCTCGAGGGTTTCATGTTTAGGAGTTAAGGTTTTTAAGGGTTTAGGGATGTGAGGGTTTTTAGGGTGAGGGTTTGGGGATGTGATGTTTTTAGGGTTAAAGGGTTTAAGGTTTGGGGATGTGAGGTTTTGAGGGTTTCGGGTTTGAGGCTTTTTGGGAATAAAGCTTAATCGTACGGGGGTTAAGGATGTAGGGTTTAGGGAAATTGGTCGCGCGGTAGACTTTGTCCCACTAACAACTAAGGGTTCGCAGAGTCTGGCGCTTGGGCTTGGGGGGAGTAGGGTTTAGGATTCAGAGCGAGGGTCCAGGGTTTAGGGTTTAGGGTTTAGGGTTTAGGGTTTAGGGTTTAGGGTTTAGGGTTTAGGATTCAGAGCTAGGGTCCAGAGATTAGGGTTTAGGATTCATCGACTTGTGGGCTTATGGGATGAGGGTTTTGACGTTTTCGTGTTTCGGGTTCCATGAACCAGGCAAAGATGTGCTACCAGTAGGGCTTCTCACGTTATCACGGGGAGTTAAAGCGCATTTACACCTTGAGCCAACCCTAAACCCTAAACCCTAAACCCTAAACCCTGAAACCCCTTAGTGAATTAGCCCCAACCCTCAACCCAAACCCCGAGCTGAAACCTCCAATCCTCAAGCCGGACTTAATAACCCGATATATCCGAAACCCCTGAAACCCTAAACCTAAACCCCCAATACTTAGACCTTCATATGTGTCTTAAACCGCCTTCGTTGAATTGTTATCCCTGACCCTCAACCCCAAACCGCGCAACCCTCAGCTCTACAAAGCCTGAACCGAACCCCAAATCCCTAAACCCTAATACCCTCAAACCCGAAAGCTTACCCCCAATACTGATACACCCTGAACCCTAAACCCTAAGCCCTAAAACCTAAACCCTAAACCCTAAACCCTAAACCCTAAACCCTAAACCCTAAACCCTGCCAGACGCCAGGTTGGTGCCCAGGTGTGTTATACCACCATACCTTGGACCCGAGCCTGTCGGGCTCCTCGGACTTGCTGCCGGGGGCCCCGGGGAGAAATCTTTTTAATGTGGGGTTTAGGGTTTAGGGTTTAGGGTTTAGGGTTTAGGGTTTAGGAGGGGTGGGGGGGGGGTGGGGGGGGGGGGGGTGGGGGGGGGGGGGGGGTGGGGGGGGGGGGTGGGGGGGGGGTGGTGGGGGGGGGGGGGGGGGGGGGGGGGAGGCTTCACAGGTATCCTGCAAGCTCAGCAGTAGATGCAAAACGCCCAAGAACCTCGGACACACACTACGCCCTTAGCCCTTGATCCCTCTTAAACCTTAGACTTGAACCCCCAGCCTTAACGCCCCAAAACCCCAAAAGCCCCAGTATGGGGTAGGGTTTAGGGAAGTTTAGGGTTTACGGTTTTGGGTTGAGGGCTACACGAAGCTCAACAAAATCTGCTGTGATTCTGAGGTCCCTAATGCGGAACATCCTTGTGGCCATGCTGGCGAGCCGGGCCACCTTGGTTCTCAGTATTCTGGGGTTCCCTAAAATCAACTACTAATTGCTTAAGAACCCCCCCCCCCTCAAAAAAACAAAACACACACACAATAATAAGTAATCCTCCGTAGAAGGGCAATATAGGGATTTTTTTTTTTTTTTTTGGGGGGGGGGGCTTCTTCAGCAAGTAGTAGTCTAGGGTCCTTCCTTTTTTTTTTGGGGGGGGGGGGGGATCCTTGTTGATTTTTAAGGGTGCCGTACTATACTAGAGGACTGGGTCCTACATGCTTTTTCAGCTTCGGGAGGATGATGTCCGTTAAAGTTGCTGGAGGTTGGCCCCCGTGGCACCCCCTCGCCCTAGGAAAGCACAGAGCGAACGAAAGCAAAAAGTAAGAACATGAACAAGAGCGACGACAATAGCAATCGTTATTAGTATTGTAGCATTATTAATTGTTAAGCAAGAACACATCACCGAAACTCTGACTAAGAAAGCATCTCTCTTGCTCTCTCTCTCTCTCTATATATATATAAGAATCATAGCAATAAAGGATAATAAAGGGTTCAAGGTTTTAGGGTTCTGCGGTGTGGGGTTTAGAGCATTGGGGGGTCCGAGTTTTTTTGGTTTGGGGGTGACAGGTTAGAGAGTTGGGGTGTTGGGTTAGGGGATGTTACAGAGTTGGGGTCTTGGGTTTCCGGGTTCAGTTAAGGATAACTTCAGGAAGCGAGTTCCAGGTAAGGTACCTGATACAAGGCTTCTACAGAAAGTACATAGGGGCACGAAGCGCCATATAAGGGTAACATACTACGGGGGCCTTAAACCAAAAAAAAACCTGAACCGTAAACCCTAAACCCTAAATCCTAAACCCTAAATCCTAAACCCTAAGCCCTAAACCCTAAACCCTAAACCCTCAACCCTCAACCCTAAACCTAACCTCAGAAAATTCGGATCCTAAAGCCCAGGGTCCGGCATCATTGTCGAGCTGGTCTTTTCCGTGGACTTCCAGTCTGGGAGCAAAGCTTTAGGGGTTTAGAGTTTAGGGTTTAGGGGTGTTCCCCCTTATACTAACAGTCCTTTATAGGGATTATAGTACCCCTATTATAATCCCTTTTAAGGACTGCTAGTATGAAGTGGAACATCCCAAGGTTTAGTGTTTACGGTTTAGGGTTTGGGGTGTGGGGTCGAGGGCTTTAGGTTTTAGGGGTTTAGTGTTTCATGTACTGGCAGGCTCCTATCGTCGAGCGGTTCACGGGTTTTGGCCTTTGAGGTGTAGGGCTAGAAATAAGCCCTAAGTACGACCTCGAGATATTTCGTAATCTCCTCTCTTGGGAAACGAGGATTTCATATTGTCCCCTGAACCCTACATAAACAACTACAATGAAGTTCGTTGCCAGGCACCCTACAGTCGCATGAGGCGATGTTTTAAATCTTGGATAATCTTGGTATCACCTACCCCAATCCCTTTGCCTTTATCCTTTGCTCCTGACCTCCGTGGACTTCGGTTGGGATTCTATCTTAAGTTTAGGGCTTTTGGTTTTCGATTGGCGGGGAGTGGGGAGGTTTCATTGGCCAGGATTCTGGTTGGCTCCTTTGTTCACAGCTGATAATTGTAAGCGCTTGCGCGCGCCGCCTCGGCAGCCGGGCCGGCCCACGGACAGGACAGGAGGAAAGAGGGTTGCTGGCAAAGGCCTCAAAAAAAGGGCCCCAGGAGATCCCAAAATTCCTAGGTGCCCAGGAAGTCCCAAAGAAGGTCCCAGGGGGGGTTCGAGGGTTCTCCCAGGGCAGGGGTCCCAGGGGCGTCCCAGGAAGTTTGCCTGAATCTATGCGTTCCTTCACTTCCGGTGCCTTCCTTGGCGTCAACATTCGCGCCTGCCAGCGGTGGCTTTTCCGGGCGCTGCTATAACCTGGCTTCCGGCCAGTCCTCCTTGGGGTTCAGCTGTGGCAGGCGCCTTGGATGGCTGTGAGTATTTCTTCTACTTTTGCTGGTGGCCTCTCACCTGGGCGTTGCTGTTTGTGTGTTTGTGTGTTTGTGTGTTTGTGTGTTTGTGTGTTTGTTTGTTTGTTAGTGTTAGTGTTAGTGTTAGTGTTAGTGTTAGTGTTAGTGTTAGTGTTAGTGCTTGTGCTTGTGCTTGTGCTTGTGCTTGTGCTTGTGCTTGTGCTTGTGCTTGTGCTTGTGCTTGTGCTTGTGCTTGTGCTTGTGTTTGTGTTTGTGTTTGTGTTTGTGTTTGTGTTTGTGTTTGTGTTTGTGTTTGTGTGTGTGTGTGTGTGTTGCGTGCGTTGCTTTGTGGGTGGGGCAATTGTCTCTTGGCTGCATCCAGCGAATTCCTCCACTTGAACCGTCCGCGGAGGTGTTGCAGTGACGTTTTGGGAGCACACCTGAGATGTGTGGGGGGGGGACGTGGTTGTATGGCAGCGAGTAAAGCCCTCAACCCTGATGCCTCCTTCCTTCCCCCTGAAGCCTAAACCATCTGAAGCTCTGGATCCTCAAAAACCGGACCTTATTCTGCCAACCTGATCTCAGCCTAAATTCCCTACTCTCTAAACCCTTAACCCGAACCCCTTGCCCCCCTCCCCGTCCGCAGAGCAAGGTGGATCTATGCCCTGGTGTCGGCAGGGGAGGCGGCGCTGGAGGACCTCAGCAGGGTTCAGGGTTTAGCGTGCGTTTAGGAGAACGTCCCCATAATTCTTAGCACCCATCAAATCTTGCGAGCTTGATGATTCGCTATAAGCACTATATATAGGAAGCGCCCACCGAAGGTGCAGTAGCGCTAGAAAGCCCCGAAATTAGTTTATGAGTATGATAGCTTAGGTGTCGACCTCCTCAACTACCGTAAAGAAAAGGTGGGGGGGGGGGGGGCCTCCTTGCAAACCCGACCCCCCAAACCCTAAAACCTAAGCCCTCTTGGAGGACCTCGCCTTGCGCCACGCGTACCCCATGGCCGTGGATCTCGCCTGCGTGGACCCAGAGGAGCCATGCAGGGGTTCAGGGCCTAGGAGGCTTTACACGTTTAGGGTTTAGGGCCAGTTTAGGGTGTATACGTTGGGTGGAGGTCTCGAAAAGCACAAGTACCCCTAAGTCACAGAAATATACCTTAAAGCAAGCCAACGATCCCCACGTCGTTTGGAAGATATTTGATTCAAGAGTTTGGGGCTCTCTGCGGTTTCAGTTTTACCTCGGCGTACCCGACAGTGACATACGGGGTTTTGGGTGTTGTTGAAGGACCTTAGTTTTTTGCAGCAGCGCAAGGCGTGCGATGTCAAGCTAAGCCGGCGAATTGTTTTCTAACACCCCGGAGTTCAGCACCCTGTCACTTCACCCACTCGACACATCTAGAGCTTAACGCCGAAGCCCTAAATTCTAAACTTTGCTTCAAGCTCAGCACCGCCATAGTGTTTTTTTTTTTTTTTTTTAGGGGGGGGGGGGGGGGGTCGTGGCGTTCATCGCCGCAGGCCTTTGTAATGTTCGGACGTATAGGGGCTCGCTGGTTTGGGGTTTAGGGTTTACAGGGTCCTATACCACTCCTTCACCCACCGACAGTCCGGAACTTTGAGCCGCTAAGCTTAGCGGGTTTCTAAACCCCTAAACCCCTAAACCCCTAAACCCCCTAAACCCCCTAAACCCCCTAAACCCCTAAACCCCTAAACGCCCAGACCCCTAAACCCCCTAAACCCCTAAACCCCCTATAAACCCCCTAAACCCTAAAACCCCAAACCCTAAACCCTAAACCCCTAAACCCCTAAACCCTAAACCCTAAAGCCTAAACCCAATGGACCACCCTAAACCCTATACACCCAATCCCACGAGGCAGCCGAGCCGTGCAACCGTCATTTTAAGCTGCTGGCAGACGTCTTTGCCAAGCAGGGCTGCGTAGAGGCAAGGGTTCAGGGTTCCGGGTTTAGGGATGTTTAGGGATGTTTGGGGATGTTTAGGGATGTTTAGGGATGTTTAGGGATGTTTAGGGATGTTTGGGGATGTTTGAGGGTGCCAGCTCCTGGTGATTCGGAGTGCCTGCGGGGGAGAGAGTGGGGGTGATCGGTCCACCATTTGCTTAGTTTTTTCTTTTGGGGGGGAGGGGGGCGGGGGGTGGTACAGAAAAAGGGGTATACCCGAAAACAGGAATGTGCTGTGTTGCTTTGTCTTGGGCAGTTGCTGTGGGTTGCAGGTGGCACCTGGCAGTTTGCGTAGCGCACGTGCAAAGCTCCTGTTGAGTCGCAACAGTGGGTGCAGCGCGATCCGGCTGCCATCTGGTTTCGGTCTCAACACTAAAGACATACAGACAGAACCCGTTTGAACTCAACCAGGGTTTAGGGTTGGGATGCTCCCCCTTTTACTAACAGTCCTTAATAAGGATGATAATAGGGGTACTAGAGTCCCTATTAAGGGCAGCATCCCAAGTTTAGGGTTTGGTCGGTGAGATGCTTCGTACAGGTGATGGAGCTGCTCTGTGCGTTGGAAGGCCCGGTGAAAAGCAAGGACGCAGCGAGCCCTGCTTCCACTTCGCTGGCCCCCCTGAACCCTGAGACCCTTTAGGGTTTAGCGGTTCGGGTTTAGGGTTTAGGGTGTAGGGTTTAGGGTTTAGTTTTTTGTTTTTAGGGTTTAGGGTTTAGGGAAACCCTAGAGCAGCAAAACCCCAAACCCTATTATTAATCAGTGCAGGTCTAGACACTGGGCTTGGTTTGTATTGACAACGTCAGTGTCGATGTGCTGCATGGGCTGTAGTCAGACGGGTCATGAGTTTAGGGTGTAGGGTTCAGAGTTTAGGGTTTAGGGTCTATGGGGTTCACGGTGCAGGGTGCAGGGTGTCGAGATTAGGGATCCGTTTGTTGGGGGTGGGGAGGGCAACAACAGCAAGGATCCTCAATATGAGAACAACAGAATGCCCCCCCCCCCCCCCCCCCCCCCTGCGGTTCTCCAAAGCTCTCATGTAAGCAGTTCACCCAACAACAAAGGAACCACGGACTCCACCAACTCCCCCCACCCTCTCCGCCCCCCCCCCCCCCCCCCCAAAAAAAAAAAAAAAAAAACAATAAATAAAACAAAAAAAATATATATATATATATATGTATATATATATATAACAAAATAGAAAAAGTCCCCAAAACTATCTACTGAAAAAGGGTGCGTTTTCCAGTTTAGAAAACCAGGAACAGAAATCACCCCATCCTCAATGAAGCCTTCAAACCTACACCTCCAAAGCCTTTAAACTTGCGACCTAATCCTTCATCAAGCCAAACCCTTTACTACAGGGTTTAGGGTTTAGGGTTTAGGGTTTAGGGTTTAGGGTTTAGGGTTTAGGGTTTAGGGTTTAGGGTTTAGGGTTTAGGGTTTAGGGTTGCAACATAGGAATCCCCATGGCGCCATTATGAGAATGTTTTTGATTGGTTGGGTTCTTAGGCAACTAGTAGTTTAAGACGTAAGTCTCGCCTTTGAGGGCCGAAGCCTACATCGCCGGGCCATAGGTTTCCACCTGCGGGGCCTCTAATTGAGCATGTTGCTGCAGAAAGCTCGGCGAGCGGACTACTTCATACGTACCCCCCCCCATTTTTGAAAGCATGCCTAGGTAGAGCCTCGGGATATTGTATATTTTCCCTTTTCGGGGTTTAAGAGGACCATAGTTAGGAATATGTTTTCAGGGGGTGTTAAGGGCCATCCTAGATGCAATACTTTGTGTTTTTTTCCGTAGGAGGGCCCTAAACCCTGAACCCTAAACCGTAAACCCGTGTTGTATCAGGAGCCGGGGGAAGCGAGCAGGGCGTAGTTGAAGTCGGTGGGTCGAACTATCGGCCGGACGCAGTGCACCCTCAAAGCCCATTAAACACTTCGGGTTTGGGGTTTCGGGTTTCGGGTTTAGGGTTTAGGGCTTAGGGTTAAGGGTTTAGGGTTTAGGGCTTAGGGTTAAGGGTTGAGGGTGTAGGGTTTAGGGTTTAGGGTTTAGGGAGGGTTGAGGGTTGAGGGTCAGACCAAAGCACCCCAAAAAAACAAGCGCCTCACAGGAGGCCATCGCCGTGCAGGATGGCCGGTCCAAGCTGGCTGCCTCCAGCCGGGAGGAGGGTCGAGGGTTTAGGGTTTAGGGTTTAGGGTTCAGGGTTCAGGGTTTAGGGTTTAGGGTTTAGGGGTTTAGGGTTTAGGGTTTAGGGTTTAGGGCACTTAAGAGCTCTAGGATTTTGTTGAGGATCGTGTAGTTTTTGTGTTTATTAGGGTCTTAGGCGGTTGCTCCGATGAGGTTCCATTTCGGAGTTTGTTGCTTTGGTTGGTGGACTGTGGGGTTACCCTGTGCGTAGGGTCCCGAGAAGACTTAAGAGAGATAAAAGGGTCCCCATGTACCTAGGTCCATGTACCTACGTTGTAATAAGTTGGGTCCTGAAGGGGTTCGTACTGTAGCTTGAGGGCCCGAGAATGTACTGTAGATGTACATGGGACCCTTACAGGGTAACGACCCCCCAGCCCAATATGAGTCACACCCGAGGCTGCATGTGAAGGGTTACTTGGAGGTTCATGGGTACTTATAACCCCGATTAGAAACCTACTTATGACCTACTTAGAGGACTTCGGGGACTTAGGGGGCTTGTAGGTACAGTACTAGTTGGGGTTCTAAGTACCCTGAACCTCCAAGTAGGGTTTAGGGAACCTCAAATTGAGAAGTGCAGGATTGACAGCCCCAGGGCCACCAAATGATGTGGTCTAGAGGTTTTGGGTTCACTTGGCCTGAAGCCGCACGGCAAAGATGCCGACTGCGGCTTGCTGTTGAGAGTTTAGGCCCTAGGGCTTAGGGTTTGGGGTTTAGGGGTTTAGGGACGTCAAGCAAACCTTTTTTTCAGCAGGAAGTGGTGAAGGAGGCGTTCTTGTGGTACCTGCGAAGCCGAGTGAAGGCCCAGACCGCAGGGACGGTTGCAGCCTAAACCCATTGCTTCGACATGACATGCCCGGGTTTCGGGTTTGGGGTTTAGGGCTGCGAGTAGGCCTAGCACATCCCACACGCGCTTTGGCATCGGGTGTCAAGATGCGACTGGACAAACTTAAACCAGGTGTCCTTCTGTTTAAATATGTTTAAATGAAATGTAGCCTTGATTGCAGGCATCTACCCTTAGCTGAGACCGAAGCCTTCCTGCACCCGTGCCACAAATTTAAACCTAAGCCTCTCAAGTTCGCGGTTCTTTGTAGGAATGGTGGGAAGGAAGCCTCTATGGCGGAGCTGAGGAACCTCATGTCGCAGCACTAGTAAGTACCGAACTAAGTGCTTTTCCTTCTCGGGACTAGTGCACTGCCGCAGTGCTTCACAATGCAGACTTCGAGTTGTGGCTTCAAGGGCATCTGTGAACGACAGCCCTGTGCAAAAGAGACATAAAAATTGAATTTACGTGCGTGTTTCCCCAATGGGGGAACCCCGCATATGTATGCATGCATGTATGCATGTATGCATGTATGCATGTACGCATGTATGCATGTATGCATGTATGCATGTAGGCATGTATGCATGTATGTATATATATATGTACACACATACAATTCTTGATCTGTTTAGATTTATATACACCGCGAATGTACTGTAAGCCAGTTACAGAAATTCTCGAAAATGGGCACATAGGATGTTCGGAATCCCTTTGCCAGAGGACAGAAAGAGATCCTCACCTAAACCTCCCCAAACACCCTAGACCCTCAACTCCCGAACCGGCCCTAAAATCCCTAAACTCCTGTAGCAAAACCAAACTTCTGCTCTCCGCCCCCCCCCCCCCCCCCCCAGCAGAAAAACTCAACTCCCAAACAAAAACTAAACTCCCTACCCCCGCCCTCACACAAAAACAAAAACAAAAACCTAAGCCTCCGACCTCCCCCAAAACAAAACACCTACAGGGGCGCTCCACCTGGATCGCGAAACAGGAGGCAGTGCACTGACTTTGCCGTGGCATCCTTGGGTTCAGAAGTTTAGGGTTTAGGGGGTGTAGGGGTTTAGGGGTTTAAGAGGGGGTTTCAGGGGGCTTCAGGGGTTGCATGAACGTAGCAAGCGCTATGTCCGAGTCACCCGGTCACCTAAACAGATAACCTGCCAAATCACTAATTGTAGAAAATCAAAGTAATAGCAATAAGAATAGTAGCAGAATGCAATCATAGCACTGAGAATGCATATTGATACTGATATGCAAACCCCTCGAAAAACCCAACCCTGACCTTCCAGCCATCGTTTTGTTACATACAAAGCCTAGTTAAGATGTTCAGGGTTTAGGGTTTATAGGGTTTGTGGCCCTAGTTAATGCCTAGAACCCTGAATCCTATAACCCTAAACCCTGACCTTCACACCCGTGCCTGCGGAGGCCAACGATGCCTGGCCCGATCTTTCCCCGGACTGTTGAAGGGCTTTGGGGTTATCTTTGTCATAGCAGGGTAACATTTTGCTTTTATGGGTAATTACTTAAACACAATAAGGAACAGGCATTTAAGTTTTAATACGATCCCAACCATGAACTAATAACTAGTTCGGGGTACAGGCGCTGCGGGGTTCAGAGATTCAGGGGTTTATGGGTTTAGGAGTTCCGGGGTCAGGGATTAGGGGTTGCGGAGGGTACGGCTTTCGGGATTTCGTTGTTCAGCAAGGGCTTGGGCGCATGTTCAAATTTGATTTGTCACGGCCCTCACATGACATTTGCGGCCTGCTCCCTCAACCAGACTGGTAGCAGGAGCGGATTGATAATTGGTCAGAAGCCTCCTGCAACCTAAAAGCCCAAAACCCCAAACCCGATCCTTGTGCACCCCTTCTCTGGAGATCCTCCGTTTGCAGTCTGGTTGTCACAAATTTACTCGCTCGGCATGGCTCTAGGTGGCTAAGTTCCACAAATACTGACAGTTGCAAGTGCCTTCAGTTTGGAGAAAGCTTGAAGGGCTTTGGCCTGATTGATTTCGCTTCTTGGGGCTTGAGGGTTTTGAGTTTAGAGCTTATAAGGTTTCAAGGCTTGAGCCTAGACCTTAAACCCTAAGGTCAGCACCCTCCTGGCAGGAGTTGGGCCTAACCTTGCAGAACAGCTGGGACCGTCTCCTAAGTTGTCCTGGCCCCGAGGCAGCCGGCGTAAGGTACAGGGTTTGAGAGGGTTAGGGGGTTGAGACTTAGGGTTCTAAGGGGGATATAGGGTTTAGCATTAGGGGTTAGGGTCAACGGTTTATGGAGATTTAATGTTTAAGGGAGGTGAGGGTTAAGGGTTTAAAGGTTTAAGGATTTAAGGGTTTAAGGGTTTAAGGGTCTAAGGGTTTAAGGGTTTAAGGGTTAAGGTTTAAGGGTTTAAGGGTTTTAGGGTTTTAAGGGTTTAAGGGAGATTTAGGGTTTAGGGTTTAGGGTTAGGGCTTCGGCCCTGAAAATCCCAGATTCCCAAAGCCTAAGCTCCATGAACCCTATCAGCCATAGAAGCGATATGGAAGCCATAAAAGCCATGATTCCCAGACCCTGAACCCCAAACGCCATAATCTAGTTGCATGGTCTCTTAGCATGGTCCCTTAGTATGGTCCCTTACCCTCTTTCAACTCTTTCAAGGGTTCTGAAGTATGGGCACTTTTTTATAGGATATATAGGGGTGGAGTTCAGGCCTGCACATGCGATGAAAAGTCAGGGGAGCATGGGATTGCCCCACTTGATGGTTGCAGTTAAGGGTTTAGGGTTTAGGGTTTGGGGTTTGGGGTTTGGGGTTTGGGGTTTGGGGTTTGGGGTTTGGGGTTTGGGGTTTGGGGTTTGGGGTGAAGTTGGCCCGTTAACATTCAAGAGGGCATTTTGAGGTTTGGACATCTGGGTCGCAGGCTGTTCGGGTTTCCGATCACCTGGCAACACGCTCGACGGTGTCCTCAGCAGCTCGGTTACAAAGTCTGGGCGGCACCGCAGGGATGTCCAGGTTTGAGATACAGGGGTTTAGGGTTTAGGGTTTAGGGTTTAGGGTAATTCTTGCCACTGGCAGAATGTTGGCTTAGAGTTCCGGCGGCAGGGTTTAAGGCCGCGAGATTTCGATGGCGCTGTTCGGGTGGTCTTAGAAACATCAACGCGAAGGTTTGTTCCACCACAATACCACACACCAAAGGGGCCTGAGCTGTGAAGAGTGCGGCCTGACGAACCCCAAACTTTATAGCGTTCTTAAGGGAGGGGGGTTCGGGGGCATATAGCCCAAGGTTGCCTAATATTCCCTGCTACTCCCTGAGGCTCCCTAAGCTTCCCCAAGGTTCCCCAAGGTTCACTAAGGTTTTTACCCCTCATGAACCCCCCTCCCTTAAGAAGCGTCTAGCCCGTAACCCTGTCTTTAAGGTTTAGGGTTTAGGGAGGGGATCGAGCAATGCCGAATACACCCCAGTACCACCCTAAGGCCCCTTAAGGTACTCTGCCCCCGTGGTGTGGGGTGTGGTTGGGGGATTAGGGTTTAAGGTTCAGGGTTTTAGGGTTTAAGGTCTAGGCCCGTGGTGTGATTGGGGGAGGTTGGTTGGGGTTGAAGAGACGGGCCGCCCGTTCCACCCCTGCACCCCCCCCCCTCCCCTGGCGGTGTGGGTGTGGTTGGAGAGGGTTTATGATGTAAGGTTAAGGGTTTGCGGTTTAAGTCAAGGGTGTGAGGTTTCAGTTGATGGTGGGGGGAGGTTCCATTGGGGGATACCTTCGGGTGGGGGGGGGTAAAGGGCATATGTAGGGCCCTAATTCCCCATTCCCTGCAAACCAACAGTAAGCACATTGAGGCCAGGATCCTCCGGAGTTGCGAGGCTCGCGTTCTCAGGTGCTTTCGAAAGTTGTGGGTTTGGGTTTTTTCAGGGTTTAGGGTTTAGGATTTAGCGTGCAGGCTTGGTTTTTTCAGGGTTTTGCTGGCTTTCAGTTGGCCTCTCTGTGCGTGCAGGGAGTTTGGGGGGAGTTTGGGGACTTCGTGCTGCGATTTCAGAATCTGGAACCTGCCTTAAGACCTGAACCCTGAACTCTAACCCTAAACCCTAAACCCTAAACCCTAAACCCTAAACCCTAAACCCTAAACCCTCAAAGCAGGCACTCTGAAGCCTAGGGCCCCCCCGGACCCTGAACCTTCACTAAGGCCCCTCAACCCTAAACCCTAAACCCTAAACCCTAAACCCTAAACCCTAAGGTGCCTTCACCCTAAGCCGGCCAAGGCCCGAAGGCCCCTCAGCCCCAGGCCCTACAACCAGATGTAGGGTTGCCGGGGGGGGTTGGGGCCCGGTTAGGGCTTAGGGTTTAGGGTTTAGGGTTTCGAGGTATCTAGGGTTTCAGCAGCAAGAAGGCGAAGAGACTCAACGGCCAGATGGCGCATTCGCACTTCTCCAGGTGCGCACCCCTTTGTGTTTGATTTTCTTTAAACCCAACTCCCAAACCCTAAACCCAAAACTTAAACTTAAACCCCTAAACCCTAGGCCCTAAACCCTCACACCCTAAGCCCTAAAACCCTGAGATGTTCTTGCGTTTGGTGGCTCAGGGTTCTGAAGCGTCAGCACCTGTACACCTCGGGACTCCGGGGATCCCCCTCCTTTATTTCAATGGCGTTCAGGAGCTCTACCCAAGCCCATTTCGCCCTAAAGCCCTAAAATCTGCAACCCAAAACAAACCTTGAACACCCTAGCAAATCGTAGGGAAGACCTACCAAAACTTTGAAAACCAAAAGGCCCTAAACCGTAAAACCCTAGACCCCAAGATCCTAAGACCCTAAAGCCCCAAAACCGTTAAACCCTAACCCTAAATCCTAAATCCCCCCACCCACCGCCAAAGGGCGGAAGGAGGGTGAGGGGGGTGGTGGGGGGTCGGGCCGCTGAAACCAAACCCCAAATCGACCGATCGATACCCGGCAGCGTCCGGATTCATGCCCATGCTCAAAGCCCTCACACCCACACCCACCCACCCACCCACCCACCCACCCACCCACCCACACCCACCCACCCACCCACCCACCCACACACACACACACACACACACACACCTACACCTACACCTACACCTACACCTACACCTACACCTACACCTTAAGTCCCACTGTGGTTTCGGGTTTCTGGTTTAGGTGCTTGCGTTACAGCCAGGGCAAAGATGTAATAGCTTTGGCCCCGGCAACCCAGCTGCGGCGATTTAGGACCTTTTTCTTTGTTGGGGGAGGGGGCGGGCGGCCCGGTTAGAAAAATCAAAAAAGCCGCAGAAAAAGGGTGATCCTAAATTAAAACAACCTCCAACCGCCAGATGGACGAGCCACCAGCCCGAACTTGCAAGCAGCCTAC